TGTGTGTGTGTGTGTGTGTGTGTGTGTGTGTGTGTGTGTGTGTGTGTGAAAGCTGCCTTGGTCATGGTGTCTGCACAACAATTTGAATAGTAACTAAGACGTGGAAACAGGCCCAGGGAGCTGAGGACCAAGAGGATCTTCTGTGACAGGATTAAATAGAAGGATCTGGCTGGGCCTAGAATAGCTGCTCCTGGGCACAAGGCACAATGCAGGGGTGAAGGGTCAGGGGTTGGCAGGGCCCAGGGTGCACAGGTGCTGCCCCCATTGCTGGTGGGAAAGCAGTGGCACACACAGTGAGAGGTGGACCTTGTCAGAGTTGAGTCAGGGCTGGCTTCAGGCTGTCCTGCCGGACACTCCCATGGAGAGAGGTGGGGCTTGGAGGAATGTGCCACACAATGGTGACTACTCCAAGGTGACAGGCCTCTGAATACCCAGGGTGGAAAGCCAGGCAGAGTCTGGAATTGCCTGTCCTCTGTCCCAGGGATGTGGGGCTGGACCACACTGTCCCTGGCTCCTAGCTTTCCAATCTATACTCAGTGACCTCTCATAGCTGAGGGTGTGCCACGGGCTGCCTAGCAGTCTGGAGCAGACAGGACACCATTCCCGCTCTCACCCAAGGCCTGTGGTTCCTCCATTCACTCCCAAGGGGTCATGAGCACTGCCCTCACTGTGGACACCTGGACAGGAGGCGTAGGACGAGGCAAGGCAACCCAGGAGACAGAAGCTTTGAATGGGAGGAATGGGGGCTGCACGGGCTGGCATAACTCCAGGGGAAAATCACCTTCTGGTGCTCTGATGGGAAGGTAGAAAGTTTTCTAGGACAGGGTTGAAGTGTCCTGATTCACCCTGTCCTCCTAATCCTTCCTAAACAGTCCACCAGCTGGGACCCATTCAAATACATGAACCTCTGGGGGCCACTCTTGTTCATGAGTTGTATGTGGGTGCCTGTTTTTTTTAATACTTCAGTACTTATATGTGTCATTTCAACAGCAACTCTGGAAAATCTACACGCCAGTTTTTCCCCTGAATCCCACTGTGGGCTCTGTCGAGGCCTGTCCTTGGGATTCCCCAGTGACATTCAGATTGTAGTGTGTCGCCTAACCCAGCAGCTCTACACTAGTGCCCCTAGCCAAGGGGACCCCTCTTACACGATAGAAAACACGTGGCCTTTGCTTCCCTGTCCTCCTGCACTGAATTCTACTGCTGCTCCCGTCACTGCTGGGCGACCACACCCACTTCTTCCAGCACTCCCCTAGCTGGCCGCATTCCCAGGAGCACAGTTCCCACCCAGCAGCCCCTGTAAACCCGGTCAAAGGACACAGCTGAGCACTTCAGATGCCCGGGGCAAGGGTAACTAGCAATGGGGCCGACACATCACCCCAAGAAGACCAGGAATCAGAATAAGCAGGGAGAGTGAGGGGTGCTGGCCAGACACACTAGGACAAGGGCAGTAGAACTCAGTTCTTTTTGTCTGAACCTGGGGGCGGAGGGGACCTTGCCCATGCCCCTCCCCATGCATGCGCATATAAGCACACACTCACTTTCACCAACCGTGCTGAGCAGGGTCCTGAGGTCCCTCCCTGGGCTAGGCCTGGGGTAAGGACCACTCCACCCTGTGGTGAAAGTGGCACTGGGCACGCATGGTCCACCAAATAGTGTGTTTTTTTTAATTCCAATCCACTCCTTAGCTGCCTGCTTTGGTACAGAAGCAAGAGTCAAAGGTGGGAGACAAAGATGGGAGTGTATCCCTGGCAGGGCTTCCCTCCCCAGCAGGAGAGTGCTCCCCCGCTGCCTATTCCAGGTTCTCCCACCCCCCAACTCAGTCCTCCCCTGGAGCCGCAGAGGAACCTCAGTGAGATTATCTGCCATGGAGCCGAGGATGGGACATCCTGTTGACCCTCACAGTACTTCTGGGTGCATGTCCCAGAAGAATGCCCCTTTGGTTGGGCCAAGCCGCCACGTCTCGACAGCAGTCTGCCCGAGGCTCTGGCTCTCACTGATGCCCATACATGTCTGCCAGCCGGGCGAAGCGGGGTCCCCAGTCCCGGAGGTAGTCGTAGTCCTGGTCCTCATCTCCCAGGCTAGACAGGATGGAGCTCAGTGTCCCTGCCACAGAGCCATCTCCCTCGTAGTCATAGATGAGAGCGGTGTCGTAGGGGGGCACGCTGGGGTCGCTGTCCGCAGCCTCCAAGCCCTGTGGAGAAGCCCACAGGCCTCAGGACCACTCGGAGGCAAGCCAGGAGCCACAGCCAGGCCTAGGTCTGCCTCAGGCATTGCCCCGGAAGGGAACCTCTTAAGAGGGGTGGGGGTGCAAGCGTCTCCTGGTGCAGAACGGACTAGCAGAGAAGGGTCTGCTTTCTCCAGCCTTCCCCACCAGGGTAGGGAGAAGCTGTCTCTTTGTGGGCTCCTTCACGCACCCACCCCAGCCTCTCAGGCACCCTTCTTTAAGTGTCTGGCCTCCCTCAGAGGCAGCACCTCCACTGCCACAGGGCAGCTTGTAACCAGTACCCAAACCCGGAGTACTCCCAAGGGTGCTGCCAGTCTGCTAGGAGCTTCCCCTGGGCTGTGTGGGCAGGCCTGTTAATAGGGGGTTCCCTGCATGGCTCGAGCCAGCCATCCACCCCACATCTGATGATCTGTTGTGTAGATCGTAGTCCTTCATGCAGTGTTCAAACTGGTGCTTTATCCAGATGACTACAGTGCAAGTACCGCCTTCACCATCACGGTAAACACAGAGAGGTCGTGAACCACACAAGGGCACGCCTCACAGAGGGACAGGAAACAGCTGGTAAGTGCTGGGGGCCTTCTGTGGCCATGTGACCGCTTGTGCTCACTCTCCGGGGCTTCCCTGAGGCTCAGCAGGGTCCTGCTGAGCTGACCCCTGGCGTCCCACAGCACGGGGACTGGAAGCAGGGTCTGGATGTGGGTGTGTTTGCGCGTGTGCATGTGTGCTCCCCGTTCCGTGATCTAGCCCCGGGGCACCTACATCACTGATGAAGTTGGCAATGTCAGCCGGGCTGGTAGGAAGCGCTCGAGGCGGCTGCGGCATGCAGCTGAAGGGGGCATCCCGGCGCAGGGGTGGCCTGCCCAGAGAGCGGCTGGTGGCCCTCGGTTCCACTGGGTGGCGCAGCTGGTTTATGTCATAAGCATCCTGTGAGTAAGCGAGTGGTTAAGTTCCGAGCGGGGACCTCCTGGCTGCCAGGGGAACTTCTAGGACGCTGGTGGGTATTCTGGGGGGCCCTCCCCAGAGTTACCACTCCTCTCTCCTTACCTGGTCCTCCTCCCCGCCTCCTTGCTCATCGTAGTTAAGGATGTTGTCCCGAAGGTCCTCTTGTAGCCCATGCAACAGACTCTTGCCCCGCGACTGCCTGCGGAACCGTGTGCGGAGCGCAGCAAGCAGGATGAGAACTGCGGAAGCACGAGGGGCTGGCTGGAGAGTGGGCTCTTAGAGGGGGGTAGGATAGGAAAGGGGCCCAGGACCGAGGGCGGGGCCGAGGACCCGCACTCACCGAGCAGGACCACGGTGCTCGCCAGCACGAGGACTAACGCGCCTAAGCTGACGCCCACACCTCCCGCTAGCAGTGCGGCGGCCCCGGGCAGGCAGGCGCCATCAGACCCGCAGCGACACACCGTGACGTTCAGCGTTTGTTCTCGCTGCTGGGGCGGTTCCCCGGAGTCCTGGAGCAGCAGGCTCAGGCGGTGCAGGCCCTCCGAGACCTGCTGTCGGAGCCGCAAGCGGGCATGGCTCACTGCAGAAGATGCAGCGCGGTCAACAGAAGCTTCAGGATAACCCGGCTCCGGCGCAGAGAGAACCTGAGTCGCCGGCTGTCAGTTCCCCACCCACCCACTGGGTACTGTGGGAAGTAACCCAGCCCTGCCCAAGGATGTAGTTGTGGCGAGATGTCGGTCCATCTCCTAGGTCCCAGGATTGGGGTGTGGGGCCGGAGGTGGGGGGCAGCTCACCGTTAATCTGGCTGAGGCTCCAGTTCCGGCCGAGATCTGGGACCCTGGGGTTCAGCTGGAAGTGGAAGGGGGCGCCGTGTGGGGGCAGGTCCTCATCCGTGGCACCCAAGAGGAGGCCAGGGCCTTGGTCTGGTTCGCTGCACAGGCTCCCCGACGAAAGAGGGGCCAGCGCAGGGGCATGGTCGTTCACTTCCAAGATCTCGATGGACAGGGTGCCTGTGGCTGTGCTGGGGGGCATGGCTGGAAGCAAGGGAGAGCTGGTAAGCTCAAGCCCCACCCGACAACCTCCCCATCAGCCCACTTCGGGAAGCTGGGCTGTGGGACAAAGACGGCACCGGCACCTGTCTCCCCTCACCATCGTCCAGGGCTAGGATGATGGCCCTGTACCAGCCGTCCTTCAGAAAGGGCGAAGCCGGGCTCAGCACTCTCTGGGTCTGAATCCTGCCTGTGGCCCCATCTACCTGCAGCCAGTCTTCTGGGTCGTAGTCCTTGGAGTAGCTGTTGGCAGGGAGGGGAGAAGTGGGATGAGGCTCATCCACGATGCCCATACACATACATATGTGTGTATATAATACTGGCCTCCACGTTATATGTAATATAGGGAATATATGACATGTAACAGATTGCGTGATATAATATAGCATATAACATATGCAAACACAGGCCACATACACGTTTGCATGTGACTGGCAGGAGCTGTGCTTACCCAGCATTCAGCCTTCGAGGCCTCCTAGCCCCAAGCTAACTGTTTTCCTTATTTTGTGCTACATTTTAAATGTTTCTACATTTGTTCATTTGCATTTATCTGTGTGCACATGCATGAGCATGACACACAGAGGTGAAAGGACACCACGTAGGAACTGATGCCCTCCTCCAGCCGGGTGGGCTCCAGGAAATGAACTTAGGTGGTTAGGCTTAGTGGCAGGCACCTTAACCCACTGAGCCATCTTGCCAGCCACCCCCCAGCTGGCTGTTGATCCAGCTGCGCACGAGGTGCGCTCCTGCCCAGTGCTCCTCTGCAACCGGCAGCCGGAATTCCACCTCGCTCAGAGCCAGCACCACAGAGACACATAGGAACGCTGTGCCAGGCTTGGGACCAGTGGTGAACTTACGGTTTAGAGCTTTCTGCAGAAAGAAGGGCCCATGAAAATGGACAGGTCAACAGTCAGAGGGTGACCGAGAACAGTCTGGACTATGTGTCCTTGTGGGAGCCCAGTCCTGCCCTGTGGGTCTGGCCACTCCACACGCACACATAGGTATCTGAAGGACTCGGTATCCCGTAGGCCCTAGGGATACACCAACGGCCTTTCCCTTTCACCCTCAGAATCCAGAGGTACCCTTGGCAGTAATGGAGCCACTGATCCCTCTGCCTTACACCCCAAGATCCCAGGACACCCCACCTGATTCTCTGCAGCTGTTGTGTGTCAGGGTCTCTGGCAGAGAAGGTGACGACAGAGGTGCCTGGCGGGGCTCCTTCGGCTATGCTTGTCCTCAGTGGGTTCTTGGGAAACACTGGAGCCTCATTGGTGTCCTGAACCCACACACTGACTCTGGTCTGGCCCCGCCGGGCCCGGGGGGCAGCTGCCTGCAGCGGAGCCTCATTCTGCACGGACACTCTGAGCTCGTATTGCTCTCGGCTTTCGTAGTCCAGGGGCTGCAGGAGGATGGCAGAGACAGCTAAAATCCCAAGTGCTAAGACGTCTGATTTAGAGAGCCTTTCCCCAGATCTGTCTAGAGAGCCCATCTTTCCGTCTTCCCCCTTCAAACCCTGACACAATACAAATCAGGCAAGGCTCAAATATTAATAGGTAACAAGATGAACTCCTGTTGCTCCTGAGTTTGTTCCTGAGTGTGGTGTGGCAGTTTCTTGTGTCCCTCAGTGACTGTGGTCTGTGTGAGTAGTGGTGGACATGCCAGCTGACATAGCAGAGAGGCCATCCTGGTTCACGGTGGTCCTCACTCTGCAGGTTTCCAGAGCAGCATACAAGAAATTCTCCCTCAAGACTTCCAGTATAAAACGATATATATATATATATGTATATATATATATAATTTTTTATATTAATTATAGTTTCTTTACTTTGTGTCCCAGCTAAAGCTCCCTCCCTCATTCCCTCCCAATCCCACTCTCCCTCCCTCATCTCCTCCTTGCCCCTCTCTAAGTCCACTTATAGGGGAGGTCCTCCTTCCTTCCATCTGACCCTAGCTTATCAGGTCTCACCAGGGCTGGCTGCAATGTCAGCCTCTGTGGCCTAGCTAGGCTGCTCCTCCCACGGGGTGGGGGTGGGGGAGCTGGGGAGGTCAAAGAGGCAGCCATAGAGTTCATGTCAGAAACAGTCCCTGTTCCCCTTACTAGGTAGGGAAGCCACTTGGATACTGAGCTACCATGGGCTACATGTGAGCAGGGGTTCTAGGTTATCTCCATGCATGGTCCCTGGTTAAAAGTAACCAAGGCCTAGTCCTGGAAGCTTCTAGCCTCCATACACTCTAACCCAGGCCTAGAATGTTTTCAGCTTCTGAGATTTACTGCTGAATAAGCTCACCCTTTCTTGTTCTTTCTGAGCTTATAGACGGCTGGTTCAATTCAGCTGTTCTGGCTCAGCCTCCTCTCCCAGCTGACTTACTCAACATGGCTTCCCTCTCAGCCTCTGAATTGCTCTGCTTGGCCTCAAACTAACTCCAGCAATCTGCTGTAATCTTCTGGCTCACTCTCACCCTCTGGCTAATTCTGTCTTCACCTGTGTCTAGCTTGTTCTCTCATGCAGCCTCTCTCTCTGTAAAACTCTCCCAGTAAAACTGCTTCTTCTCTCTCTCTCTCTCTCTGGCTCATTTGGTCTTCACTTGAGTTCTCCCTCTGGAACCTTTCTCTCTGACTGTCTTGGTAAAAACTGCTTCCTCTCTCATTCTGTGTTGCTCCTTAAGTAGCTTCCCTTTCCTCTCTGTTCTCCCGAGAGTTGGGCATATCCTATTCTGTCCAATCTTTATCTGTGTGCACATGCATGAGCATGACACACAGAGGTGAAAGGACACCACGCAGGAACTGATGCCCTCCTCCAGCCGGGTGGGCTCCAGGAAATGAACTTAGGTGGTTAGGCTTAGTGGCAGGCACCTTAACCCACTGAGCCATCTTGCCAGCCACCCCCCAGCTGGCTGTTGATCCAGCTGCGCACGAGGTGTGCTCTGATTCATCACTGATTCGTCACTTTTTCTCTCACTTTCAAAAGCTTTTCTTTAACTGATACTTGGCTCTATACGAGGCTGGCCTTGAACTCAGATCTGCTTGCCTCTGTCTCCAGCAAGATCACACAGACCTGGAAGGTCTTTGGATGTCATCTCTTGCCAGAGCAGCCATGTTCTGAATTAAAATTCCTCTACACTGCAGCCCGCCTCAAGCTGTCTGCCCAGTTTCTTGCAATAAATCTTCAAATGCACCTATGTCTACATGCGTGATTGCATGTATGTGTGGCCCCTGCTTCTCGGGTAGGTTCGGGGCTCCTGCTGGGACACAGCTTTACTTCAAAGTGGGGGTTGGACCACACCAGTAAGGAAGGAGCAGCCAGTAGCAGTGGCATTCTGTGCAGCAGGGTGCCTCCCACTGCCCAGCTCTGCCAGACCCCTGCGGTCAGCGCCCTGTCCACCCTGTGCCCTCACCCAGGAGGTCGGCTAGCACAGCCGTCCCAGGAAGGGACCCAGGGCAGCAGCGCAGGCCGCAGCTGCCGCAGGAGGATGCCTGTGACAGACTCGGGCCAAGAGGAAAGCACATGGCAGAAGTACGCCTCACCTTGACCACGGACAGCACGCCTTCGTTGGTCTTGGGGTCTGTGTAGATCTTGAACTGTCCATCTGGATCGCCTTCCAGGATGGTGAACCTGGCCACCCAGTTAGGGGACCCAGGCAGGTCGCGGTCCTCCACCTGGAGCCGCCCCACGTCCACTCCGCTGACAGCCTCCGCAGCCTCCAGGAAGAACTGAGAGATCCCAGCCCGTTACTCACAGACTGGCTGACTGAGAGCAGGAAGCTTCAGAAGGCCTGGGCCTGTGACTCAGGAGCCCTCCCTTGCTTCACTGCTGCTCACCACAGGGTGTTTCACTGGTCTGTCTTATCCTGCTGTAGCTGTTCCTGGACATTGGACCAACTATTCCCCTCCCACAGCAAGAGGCTGACTGGGCAGAGGACCCGGAGGACAGTAGTAGCTGTTTTTCTCTAAGGAACCTCACGTGTAATCTGTGTTCCTGGGGCCCCTCCATTTCAAGCTCCCCTGCTCACGCACTGCCCTTCCCCGTGCCATGAAACCATTCACCCTCCCGTTGCCTGCTCCTGGGACCTACGAAGGGAAGGCAGCCCTAAGCTGGTGGGGGTGGGCAGAGGCGGCACCTCATCCTTGGTGAACTCCGGGGCATTGTCGTTGATGTCGTCTATGGCGATGATGGCCGAGGCTGTGGCGGTGAGGCCATCTCCAGACATGTCTGCCACCTGCAGGGTCAGGTTATACATGGCAGCCACCTGGGGAAAAGGTGATATGAAGTAAGTTGTGCTACCCAGAGGCAACCATTTTAGGATGGCAGCAGAGCCACCTCAAGGCTTACCCCTTACACAGGTCTGCCCCTGCCCTAGCCTGTAAGTGAGCAAGACATCAGTTGTGGTACTAGAAGTGTCAGGCAGGGGCAGCAGTAAGCGGCTTCCTGGCTGAGGGAGCTACCTCAGTGGCAGGGGTACCTGGTGCAGCGGCACAGGAGGGCCTCAGGGGTGTCTTCTAGGCATAAGTGACTGTCCCAGGGGGTTACAGCACAAGCAAGGAAAGACCAGGGTGAGCATAATAGCCACAGTGTCAGCTGAGCAGGAAGGCCCTGCCCTGTGAGGAGCCCAGATGTGGAGCCCCAGGCCCTCAGCTGTCCCTGGAGCAGCCTCACCTCACGGTCCAGCCCCACTTGCACCGTGCGGATCTCTCCAGTATGCTCATCAATGCTGAAGAACTCAGGGCTACCCTGGTCCAGGATGGAGAACCTGAGCGCTGCGTTGTCTGTCTCCGGATCGTCGGCGTCCGTGGCCTCGGCCTTGGCCACCAGGGTGCCTGGGGAGGACCGAGAAAGCACTCAGCCTCCAGGGGGCGGGGGGGGGGGCACCCTGTCGGTGTGCAGCGCTCCCTGTGTACACAGACCCTCTAAGCCTGACACTGTGATCGCGGAGTGGGCTTGTCACTGGGCTGACAGCACAGGCCAGCCTCAGGTCCAGGGCACGCCCGCTGCCCACAAGGTTGAGCATCGCAGCGGGGCTTTCAGAGGAGAACCGGTGTGTCTTCTGCCAGATGGCAGGTCAGCAAGTGGAGCTAATGGACCAGGTCAAAGTGGAAAACCCACTGGGATCCTCAGAGGTTTGTGTATGCTCTAAAGAATGCACGAACACATGGGGACAGAGCCGAGCAGGTACCCGGCACCCTGCAAGGTACTACCCACAGGGAAGCTGTGGCAACTGGGAAAGGGCCAGCGCAAGGATGGGCCCTCTTCACCCGTCACTCACTCCCTGCAGCACAGGACAGCGTAGGAGTGTAGAGCTAGTGTGGCGGGCCGGGGCGGGCGGGCAGGCTCCGGGCTCCCCGGGACGCGGTGCGCTGGACAGGGGGCAGCACACAGCAGCCGGTGCTTCAGGCCCACCTTGCACAGGCGGAAGCTACTGAGCACATGGTGTGTGCACAGTACAGGCTCCCAGGCCGAGGCCCGGGACAAGGCTCCCAGCAGGCTTCTCGGGCACGGGACTCTGATTCCCAACCCTGTGCTGTGTGAGCATTCTCTGGCAATTGGGTAAGTACACAGAGGCACGGGGAGCCAGTTCCCAATCAGAGAAGGGCTGCCGTGCGCCGGGAGGGGACTCCTGAGCGGACACAGAAGCAGAGGTACCTCGAGAGCTGGAACTGGTGTGCTGTGGCACACGTGGGTACCAACGAGCTCACACAGTGTTCACACGTGCGCAGGTCTGGATATGTGTACGTTCGGAAGGGGCACATTTCCCAGAGGCATGGCACATCGGACTGTGACAGCAAGAATCCCAGTTGCAGGGACTAGAGCAATGGCTCAGAGGTTGAAAACACTTGCTCTTCTCCCAGGGTACTCAGGTTCAACGCCCAGCTTGTGCAAAGAGAGTCACAACTATAACTTCAGTCCTAGGAAATCTGGTGCCCTCATCTGGTCTCTAGGCAACCTGCACTCACATGGTGTGCAGGCAAATATGCCTACACATAAAATAATAAAAACAAGAAACACACACTGCCAGTCTACCCAGAAGAAAGTAAGTGTCTCATATACACCTCAGGAGACGGCCCCAGGGGACAGCAGCGAGAAGCTGCCTGGGGAGTAGGGATCTCTTCTATCCCATCGCTGTGGCACTGAGACCCTTTAAGGAGCTGACACTGGCACACTGAGAGACGTGCAGCCTGGACTGGGGGTGCGGGAGAGTATTTGTGCCCTGGTGCCGGGCATCTTCCACCCATCAAAAAGGGCTGGAAGAGAGCTGAGGCCGCCTCCACTGCCTTCAAGGGCACCCTCTGCTGGGAAGAGCAGGATGGCAGAAACCCCTTGGGCATGCTGGCCAGGCAGAGAGAAATAGAAGCAAACACCCAAGAGCCATGACTGGCATAGAACTGAGGTCAGCCCTCCCCCACCTGCTAGGGCAGTCAGCCCCAGGGCAGGCCGGCCACTCCAGGGGATTGTACTGTAGGGGCCTGGTAGAAGTAGGAGGCACCCAGGAGAGATGGCAAAGTTAGGAGAAGAAAGGCAGAAAGAAAAGAGCCTGGTAAAGCAGGAAGGAAAGGCTGCAGGACTAGAACAGCTGACCCAGCTCTTCCCTGCCCTGATGAACTCCTTACTACAGAAAGTGCGGCTGGACAGGGTCAGCAGACGCCAGACTGGGGTGGTAGCACACTGATTTCCTGCTCTGATAGAGTTGTCAGAACACTTCGACATTGTAAGAATGTCCAGCGTCCAGTCTACAACCAAGCAGCTTAGTGGGAAGACAGAAAAAGGTTGAGCTGGGAACCACTCCCTGCAGTGCGCATGTCGGAATTGTTTCAGACTTTTCTGTAAGTCTGAAATCAGCTCCGAATAAAGAGGGCAGGCAACTGTACGCCGTTACCTTAAATCTTGCAATATGAGTAAACGGAGTAGAATGAACCCGGGTTGCAAACAGCCAGGCTCTGTGTTTCTGCATTCTAGGCTTCCTGAAACTCTTGCCTAGTCCAGATTTGAACACACTGGAAACAGGCAGTGAGGGAGGGAGGGTGGGTGGACACAGTGCTCTGACTGGCCCTGCTGAGGAAAGTCAGGGCTGGTGTGTGATTTTGAAGGGAAAGGGCAGAGCCTCATGTAGTCAAGGCTAGCCTCAGATTGGTCAGAGAACTGGAAACGACCTTAAAATCAGGCTCCATTCCCCAAGCGCTGGCCTCACAGGCATGTGCCACTACAACAGGCTGGTTATTGTGCTGCATCTGAAGCAGCAGCCAGAGGGGGAACCGCCCCAGTCTGTGGAGTGTCCTTCAGGGAAACCACACTAGGGAAAGCCATGGATTCACTGAACGAGTCTGAAGGGTTCACTGAATCAGTAAGGTGCAATGTTCACCACCATGACACAAGGGTGAACACAGCCAGCCAGAAGCCTTTCTGTGCATCAGGTTCATACTGACATGAGAAGTATGGAGAAGACTGTTGCTGCTTTACACCCCATCTTCTGGATGACCTTCAGGTGGCTGATTCTGCAGGGCTGAGGTTGAACCTGGCATGCCAGGCAAGCCACTCCGGGGGTCAGGGTGGGGGCTGACCTTTGGTTGTGTTGGATCTTCTGAAGCCCCAACCCCCTGGGTAGGACTGGGCTCCACCTCACCTGGGATGGCGCCCTCCAGGATGTGGCCTCTGAATACATCCTGTGTGAAGGCTGGCCGGTTGTCATTTTGATCCACCACAACGATCTCCAGGTCCGTGGGGTCCTCCAGGGTAGAGCCACCCAAGTCCAGGGCAAAGGCCCTCAGCTGAACAAACAGAAGGCAGGGGCTGGCTCTGTGGCTCCTAAAGCCATGCAGAAGGAACAGCAAGGACCCATGGGCTTAACACAGGCGAGGAACACATATATGTTGTATGCTGTGGGCATGCAACCTTTCCATGAAGAGAGTGTCTTCTCCCAGCACACAGACTACAACTTTCCTCTCTTTCCTTGGCTGCCAGGATACTCGTCACATCATTGAATGGATGAAGTAATGCTCTTACTAAGGTTCTTACTAACCTTTGTCTCCCTTTCTCTGTAGTTTTGGCTCCTGTCAAAATTAAATTAATTCATTTTACTCTTCCTTCCTTCTTTCTTTCCTTCCTTCCTTTCTTTCTAGACAGGGTCTCACTGGTGTCCTGGAACCCACTGTGTAGACCAGGTTGGCCTCAAACTCACAGAGATCTGCCTGTACCATGCCTGGCTTAATTCACTTTACTTTTTGGATCAGGGTTTCACATGAGCTTACAACATTTTAACCTGCTTCTTTTTTTTGGATAATGGCATGGCATAATTTCCAAGCACTCAGGGGTCAGAAACAGGAAGATGGTGAGTTCAGGCCCAGCTAGATACACACAACAAGACATTATGAATCACATACAAAAAAATCATGTAATGGATTCCTCTGTAAGAATGCAGCTTCTTATTTTAGAAGAATCTCTCATGGATGTAAAAGAAATCTTAGTCCCTGGAAATGTGAAGGTAGAAAGCTACCCTGCCTTGGGCCAGACAGAATGCAGTCTACAGGGTCCTGGCTAGAGTAAGCAGGTTTCTAGAGGTTTTGCTTGGTTTTATTTTTGTGACAGGTTTTTGCTATGTAGTCCAGGCTGGCTACAAACTTCCTGCCCCAGACTCCTAAGGATCATAGGCCTGTAGCACTATGCAAAACTCTTATTTATTTAGCCACGTTGGGGATCGAACCCAGGGCCTTTGCATGCTAGGCAGGCACACTGCATCCCAGCCTGGCAGACGGCTATTTGCAGAGAACCCAAAGGCGGTCCTGGGCTTATCTCTTGACCTTGTGCTCACCTCAGTGTGGCTCTCACCTCTCTTCCTGCACCCCAACACTGTAATGGTAATGGGCCAGCCTCAGACATCATCTGCTGTTGCTGACAGTAACACTATTTGGGAATTCCTCATGACACACCCATCCACCAAACAGAGCCTGGATCTAGGCTGTCACATCAGCTCAGCAGTTGTGACAGTGCTCTGCCCTCCATAGGACTGCCCAGCCCCACTTCATGGCCTCAAGGTGCCCCTTGTTAGGTGGGAGCATGAACCAGACACTGAATCCTCACATGTGGGGCACACATGGGCACCAGATCTTGCTTCAGAAGCTCCCGGCTTGGAGCACATCAGGTGGGGAACAGAAGCCTGAGCATTAGGAAGGACCCCAGCTTCCCACCAGGCCCTACCCTAAAGCGATCTGTCTTCTCACGGTCTAGTGTGGCGTTGAGGTACACCCTCCCAGTGAACTTGTCGATGGAGAAGACGTTTCGGGGCTCTTCATCCACACCGGGCCCCTGGATACTGTAGATGACGCTGCCTAGCTGCTGCTTGTCGGACTTGATCTGTGGGGCAGGAGAGGGGCTTGGTGAGGGCCAGGGGGCACCCCGACACCTTCAGGTTCCTCCCCGGCTAGGCAAGCAGAGGTCCCAGGCTCTAAAGCCCAACAAGTTGCCCTCCTAAACTCAAGTCCAGTCCAGGGCATCCTGGGACCTGGCAGCCAGTTCCATTCTGAGAGTGTGGAAGGCTGACTACCTCACAGGTCTATGCCTTCCGGGGCATATGGCTGGCCTCCTTTGCTGGCCAGCCTGGTCTGTCTGGGACACGGACTGGGACATGCTCACTGGAGTGGCTCAGGCATGGGAGCCCCACTTTTATCCCAGCAGAGAAACAGCGACAAAGTGGGGGAGTCCTTCCTAGACGACATATCCAGCTCCCGTCAGCAGATGGGGCTGCCCCAGACCCGAGGGGTTCTTTAAGAAATGGGGGAACCTATAGGGACCCCACCCCCTGCTTTGCTTACCTGCACCAGGGGGTAGGGGAGGCGTTTGTGGTTCTCAGACACACTGATAGGTGGGATGACCCAGGCTCTCCGCACTCGGCCTGGGGCTGGCGCCCGGCGCCACAGGTACAGAATGCTGGGCTCTGCCTCAGGGACCGCCCAGAACAGGCCAAGGCTCTAAAACACAGAAGGGACAGGGTCATACAGGGCACAGGAACACTAGGATGACCTCATTCCTAGGGCTGTGGTTGGACCCTGCACCACCTGGTGGTACCACCTGGCTAGGCGGGCTTTGGCAACCACATCCTGGGACGGTTAGCTCAGAGTCCACATATGGACGCTCGCTGCCTGACTCTTCTCTTTGCCTAGAGCCCAGAATACAGGCTGTGTCCAGTGTTGTCAGACCCCTCCCTGTAGAGCGTGCTTGTTGGCTGGCTGGAAGCAACGTGAGGGTCTGTACTTTTCCTCGGGTCCCTGAGAGGTCAGGTGCCAACAGGGCCCAGGGAAGTACTCAGAGGGCAACTCTTGCTTCCTGGGAGTGAGGGTCCAGGAGAATGGACAGCAGCTGGTGGAGCCAGAACTCAGAAGTGGGGCCACTGAGTTAGAGTGGGAGGTGATGTGTCCCTCCTGAGCTCCATAGCTTGAATGTCACAGTGCCTGCTTTTGTGAGAGGAGACTAAATGAGGGGAGGGGCCCCTAAGCATCTGTGTCCAACCCTCACCCCAGCCACCCAGGGCAGCCACGCACACAGCAGACCCAGTGTCTGAAATCTCCCTCCACCCCGAGCCCTGGGGCCTGATTCCTAACATTTCCAGAAACGAAGCCTGAGAGTAGATGGTTCCTCTGCCACCGTCTGCTGTGTGAACAGACAGGAGCCATGCTCGGGGTACCCCATGGCACTTCTCAGTCTTGCTTTGCAGAAGGAATCCCCCGGCAGCAGAGAGCGACACAGAGCTTATCTAAGCTGCTTTGCACAGGACTCAGGGTCTGTGGCCTCCTTTTGCTGGCCAGCCTGGTCTGTGACATGAACTGGGGTATGGTGCCCACCCAGGGACGACATGCCTGGCAGATGCCAGGGACTGGACTGGGCCACATTCAGGGCTGCTGCAGGGCACAGGGTAGGACTGGGCTGGCTGTGTGGCTCAGCTGAGAGGGTGGCTGGGAAAAATGGACAGCCCACACAACAAGTCTTGTGATTTTCATAACTGGATCTCAGTTCTGGAAACCCAGGACTCTTGGGATATAGTCCTTCCTTCCTCATCACCCCCGGGAGACCAGCAGTGACTGCTAGAAGTGCTGAGCTCAGTGGATAAAGACACTTGCTCCCAAGTTGGATAGCCTGAGGATGATCTCTGGAGGCGACATGGTAGAAAGAGAACTGACTCCTGCAAGCTGGCTCTGATGGCCACACGGTAAGTGCCCGCTCCCGCTATAATAAATACATGTAATTTACAGAAAAAACAAGCCGGCAGCGGTGAAACACATTCTTAATTCCAGCACTTGGGGGGCAGTGTCAGCCTTGCGAGTCAAGAGCAGCCTGGTCTACAGAGCAAGTTCCAGGACAGCCAGGGCTACACAGAGAAACTCTGTCTCAAAAAACAAAAAAGTTCCTGGGGGTTGTGTGACTGCAGACAGGAAATGAAGCCAAGTCTCTGAGCCCAGAGAGCACTACTGAGACCCATTCTCCTCCAAGCCTACTGCCATTAGCTGCTGACGATCACAAATAACCACACCCCTCAGAGGGGGAAACTAAGGTCTGCAGAAGAGACTCATCTATCAAGCACATGAGAGAATGCAGGGCAGCTCCCCAAAGGCATTCCTAACCCTCCAATGCCATCCTGGTTCTCACAGGTGCTCTCCATCCCATTTCTCAATGGATCTCACCCAGAGTGACCTGTCCTCCAATTGCTCCATGATTGGGAGGGAAGATGAGAACTGGCCATCCGGGGCCTGTGGGTATGTCCCCGTGAACACTGGCTCCACTGGCATTCCTGAAAGCACAGTTCGCACAGCCCACCATGGTGGGTGTGGCTATTGGCCACACGCCGACCTCATTTCCCACAGCACATGTTGGTTAGGAACAAAACCTAGGGCAACCTCAGGCTTCCAGGAGGCTGGGAGGCCAGTGCTGGGCAGGGTACAGCCTAGCAGGATTTGTGGAGGTGACGGGTGCAGGGGCTGCAGCACGCGGGGACTGCTGCCTTTGGAGATGCTCTTAGCCCTGTGGCTGTCCCTGGCTGCACTCCCTCAGGCCTGCAGGAGGGCTCAGGGCAAGCAGAAGGGCTGAGACTTCAGAGCCCTTGCTAGCCTGGCCTTCTTAAGCCAGAGGCAGGGCTTGGGAGATTTCCATCTCTGCCTCAGGGCTGTTCACATGCCTTCTCTTTACATTTATTTGGGGGGGGGGGCAGATACAGTTGCTATGGCACACGTGGGGGTCAGAGGACAATTTACAGGAGTCAGTTCTCTCCTTCCACTATGGGGACGCACTTAGATCTTTGATGGCAAAGTCCTTCATTCACCCTCTGAGCTGTCTTGCTGGCTGCTCAGTACCTTCTTTTGAGTGACTTCCCTCCTTCCAGGCTCTGTCCTGCAGAGCGGTGCCTTTCTAGACGTTGGCCTGTGAATCCTGTCCACAGGCGCAGTCTCAGAGGACATGATTCAAAAGCAGAACTATGCTTTCCATCCGGTCTCACTCTGCCTGCTCAGGGCCAGCAGCTCCCTGAGCAGATGCCCACTATTAGAACTATGCCTAGCCTTAGCAAGGTCGAGGCCGAAGGGATCCTGTGTATGAAAACTCAGTCAGCAGGAGTTGCTATTCGGAAGCAGCAGAGCCCTGGGCAGGAAGGGCCCTCAGCTAAGACTGCTCTGTTTTGTGGTTTGTTTTTGTTTTTGTCTTATATATCCCAGGCTGGCCTCAAACTCACAATGTGGCTAAGGATGATCCTGTACTCCTGCCTCTAATTCCCATGTGTGTGTAGCCCCTACATGAGTTGCCTGCAGAAGCCTCCCTCTCTGGGACAGATCCTTGGGCTGCCCATGTGAAAGGGACACTGCTGGATGGTCCCAGGACAGAGCAGGCTGGGAGTGTGGACCGGAGTGTGCCAGCCCCACCCTCAGCACGGTCTGCAAGTAGTCAGAGCGCCGTCTTTTCCTCACTGTTCCCAACTACTTCCCTCGGAATGGTGGGTGGGCTGTATCTGGAGCTCCAAGGACATCCCAGCATGCTTTCACTCTTAATGCCCATCCCAAGCAAGGGAGCTGAGAAGCCCTGGCAGGGGCTTCTCTCTGCGGGAAGGTCATGGGGAGGCTGTGTTTAAAGGCACCCATTGCTCTGACTAGCAGATGAGGTTTGATCCCCAGAACCCACATGGTGGCTAACAGCCACCTGTAACTCCAGGCCCAGGAGTTACAGTTACGGGGTGGGGCGTGGGGAGTGGGGGGATCTGACTGCTTCTTCTGGCCTCCTCACCTGTTGTGCGCATGTGGTACACACACATACAGCAGGCAAATCACATAAAAATAAAATTAAACATTATAAAAAGGATTGTGTGGACAGCACTTACCCTCAGGGAGGCTCACACTGGGCCATCCTGACACCCCCTTCCCCTCCCTCAGCGTCCATCAGCTCCCACGGCTCCCTGACTGCTACATGGATGGCCTCCCTCCTGTGGAGTCGCCTGCTGGCTACCCAGGCCCCCTGGCTTCCACGTATGCTGGATCTGTGGTCAGTGGAGGCTGGCGCTCACAAGAGGAAAGACAGTGGCTGGTTGGGGGTTCTCCAAGGGCAGCAGGGAGAGAGCAGCCAGCCAGCCAGCAGACCACTCAGATTTCAGCCTCCTCACGACTTCCTGCAGCACACATGGATGTCCAAGGCCCAGGAAGGTCCTGGCCCTGTGGGCACCTGTACATAGCCTGCTTGGGGATCAAAGGTTTGGCTCAGTCTGCTCTCCTGTCCTGCTTCCCAGCCTGACTGAGGTACCATGCTGGGAGCCTTTGTTTCCATCCTACCAGTGGGACCACGGCCACCTATTCCACAGCCCCTCATGGCAGCAGAGGCCACCTCCATCACCCACTTGGTCCTGGGGTCCAGGGAGCAGAAGACCCTGTTCAAGACAGGAGGATGAGTTTGGAGGGGCCAGAGCCTTGCCTGGGCAGCTCTGTCCTCACAGATGGCAGCTTGGCCTTAGAACAAAGCCAGTGTCAGCGTGCGGAGCTGCTTCTAGGTCAGGGTAGTACTCCTACCAGGCACACACCTGCCCGCCTGGCATGGAGAACGTGGGCACAGCCTCCATGGATACAGGGGCTTTTGCCAGAGCTTGATGGCAGACCCTGAGATGTGCCTCAGGGCTGTTTTGGGGCAAGCCTGGCTCGGTCTTCCTCCCCTCAGGGTGGCATGTGGGTTGGGACCTGGGACTCTTCACCTACAGATAGGTGAGGAGAAGCATTTTAATAATCTTAGCTCCCAGCCAGGTTGAGAGAGGCTGAGTCATTTGCCCAAGGCCACATAAGTAGAGCTGGCACCACAGGGCATGTCAGGCTGATGTCATCTGTAGTGTCTGCCCTGCCTTAGGCAGGCCTGTTGAGAATGGGAGTTCCCAGGCTCTTTGAAGCCCCTGTGGCCTGGGAAGACCTTCCACCCTCCTCGTCATCCTGCTGCTCCCACCAGCTGCCCCCGCTATTGCCCGTGGGCTTGGCACTGACTGGGTGTGGTCAAGGCAGGGCCTGGGAACCATGGGTCCCTGGCCTGTTCACAGCCCAAGTTCACGAGGTCACTGAACCACAATGCCTTGGCAGGACCCCATGCCAGATCAGAGGCTGCAGTGGTATGAGTGGGCACCCAGCGGGCAGGCCACAGCCAGCTTCCGGCTCTCGGGAGGCATTTGTGTAGCCTGAGATGTGTCCTTTCACCCTAACCACTTCCCAGAAGATGTGGTAGGCTGGAGGCAAGGCTGGGGGCTTCCTTGGGACAAAGGCACATGGCCACAGCTGGCTCACAGGCTCCCCATATCCAAGACAGAGGACAAGGGCAGAGGCACCCGGAAGGTGCTCCCACACCATCTACTCTGTTCCCCCATCCCAGGTTAGACAGGAAATAGTCAGGCTCTCTTCCCACAGCAGATATCCAATGTGTCCCTCCTCATCCCAGGCCTGACCCAGGACGAATGCAGATAGAAGCT